TAGGCTATGAGGAAGAATGCTTGGCCAGCCCACCAACTGAACACAACTCAGTGCATGACACAAAGAGCCTGGGGAACTGGATAAGCTTCCAGATGGAAAGCCTAGGAGGGGTACCTTGCTTGAGTTGCAGGTTCCTCACTCAGAACAATTTTTTGTGAGGGAGAAACAATCTGAACTGAAGAGTTAGATCTATAATCCTCAGCAGGACCAGATCTTGGGAGTGGGAGGTGGGATGGGGAAACTTCCATCATTCCATATGAAATGATATATCTGTAGGACCTGCAGAAATCTAGCAAGAACTCTGAAAGCGACAGGACTGTATCAGGCACTCAGGAAACTGGCCTGCAGAATATGCACTTCACTGAGACTGGATTGCCCGAAATCTCTAGAGGACGTGCATTACTAAGCGTTAAAAATTAAACACAATGAGGGCCAACTCAAAAGCTGCAGAATTTCAAGTGGGTGGGCAGATGAGGATTTGAACCTCCTTGAGACTGGCAAAGAACAGGAAGTCTCTGTGTACTAGGTTAATTACTTTGATTATGTTTAGTCTACCTCAGTGGTTCTCAACCTTTTTAGACTTGAGGCATCCCTGGATAGACTCAAGGCATCCTTAGGTAGACTCACATCACCCTTCAGAAAATGTTTTCACTTTTTTTGTACTACAGAGAACTAATAAAGCAGCTCTTCTGTTGCAAAGAACTCAGAAAGCCCACAACTATGGATTTCTCTTTGCAATCTCTGGGCTTATATTGTGAATTGCACTTATAAACCTAACAGTACTAACATTGTGTGGCCCCCCAACACCCTTGAAAGGATCTCGAGGCATTCCAGGATGCTGGGGCACCCTAGCTGAGAATCACTGGTCTAACTATATGACTGGGATAAAAATGTTGACAGGCTGGGCGTCAGCTATATTGCCATATACAGCTATATTGCCATATACTACATGGCAATATTGCCACTACATTGCTATATTGCCATACTCATGCTCTCCCTCATTATAGTGTGCTGCTACGGTGACGTAGCAGCTAAAAAATAACTGTGTGCGACTGGCACAGTGCAGTACGGGCAGTTATTGCACCATTATTTAGTACCAAAAGGATGGCACAGTAACAACAATGCCATGTGTAGATGCGCCTACTGAACATTTCCAGTCTTTTGGACCAAAAATAATTGAAAGTGAATCCAGATGGTTCAGGACACAGCTCAGCAAAGCCTGTCTCCTTCCTTGGTTACAGTAAAGGGAATAAAATATTTTAATAATATCACAATAAGGGTTTGGGGTCTTTTTTGGCATATTTACCCATGAGCCTTTCCTGCCTGGCGTCTTTAGATCTGAAATCCCACTGCACATAGCAGACAATGATTTTGGCTTTGAGTCTCTGGAGATATCTGGGGGCTTGTTCTCAATTTCTATGATTTTACAGATGTTAGGTGTGCCTAAATGAGACACCTTACTGTGAAGTAACATCGTTTACTGTGCAGTAAGCATGTACATCTACACATGTACATGCTTACTGCATAGTAAACCTCACTAATCTCGAGTAAATTTGCTACCTATAAATGCAAGTAGCAAATTTACTTGCAATTTCTAACTGCACAGTAACAGTCATGTAGACGCCTGAATGGGAGCAAATCTGCTCCTGGTCAGCTGGTCACCAGGCAGTGGAAAATTGCTTCCTGCCCCTGGGAGCTGCCTGCTGCCAGGGCAGGCTCTGTCACTGGAGCCTAGGTGGGGACTATGTCTCGCTGCCCCAACAGCAAGGAGCTCCAAGCCCCCCTGCTCTGAGATCACGATCAGGGAGCTGGGGGCTGGGAGATCCTTATCTCCCAGTGCCAGCTCCATGGTCCCAGGGATGGTAATGAGAGATCAGGATCTACCAGTGCAAGCCCCACTGTTGCAGGATCAGGCCCCGCTGGCCCAGAACTGGCATCAGGAGATAAGGATCTCCCACTGCCAGCCCCACAGCTACAGGGCCAACATTGGGAGCTCCCTCATGGCAGAGGCTGGGGAGCCTGTTCCCTGACCAGCTTCATGATCGTGGAGCTGAGCAGGGAACAGGCTCCCTAGCCCCTACCCTGCAATCATGGAACGGGGGCTGGGAACTGTCCCAGTCAGCTCCAATCGAGTGATTGAAGCACAGGGCTTGGAAAGAACTGCAGGGGTGGAGCAGGTCAGTGGGGAAGCTGGTAGCTAGTAGCAAGCCCCTGGCAGGGCAGGGAATCCCCATGCAGCTGAGTGCTCATAGCTAGCTGTCCCACCAGTGAATCAGGGCAGGAAGCTGGGACCTGCCCCTCCCCTGCAGCTCTTTCCAAGTCCCCTGCCCCAATCAGGCAGGGGGACACTGACCCCACTCCAGCAGCAAGCAGCCCCCTGGGAGCAGGGACAAATGTGCTCCCTGCCAGCCCCTGAGCTAGCACCCAGGGAGAGGCTCAAGTCCCCTCTTGTGGTGGCAGGTGCCCATTGCAGGGTGCCAGGAAGTAAGACCAATTTGCTGCCATTAGCAGCAAATCTGCTTCTGCTTTCCTACACATGTAGGCACGTGCTTAGGAGCATTTACTCATGAGTAGTTTACTTATGAGTAAACTGCTCCCAGATCTAATGCAGGTGTAGACACATCCATTGACAATGATCCAAACTGTCTGCACATTACTCAAAGCCTGTTGTTATGATTGTCAAACCCTGATAAGGCAGTTTTGCAAGTGAATATTAGGTTCGTCTACACATGCCTCTTTTAAGCAGGCTTAGCCTAAAATCACTATTTTAAAACTGCATTAAGGGTGTGTGTCTACACATGTGCACTCTTAATGTGCCTTAAAAATGGCAATTTAAGGCTATGTAAGTGTAAAGCAGGTATCAAATTTAGGCACACATAGCTAAGTCACATTCATGCATGTGTAGATATGCTAATGTGCATTAATGTGCATCAATGGATAGACTGCATTAATGTGCCTTAGTGCATCTACACATGCATTAATGCGACATAGCTATTTGCACCTAAATTTAATGTGTCTTAATGTACATTAGCGCATCCACGGGTAGACACACACGTAAATTGCCTTAATGCACCTTAAGCAAAGGTGCATTCAATGTAGGCATGTGTAAATATATGTGTAGACACTTCCAGTGAGAACTCTTCTCCTTTCACTGAGAAGGAAAGGGTGGTTCAGGGCCACGAGACTAGCAACACATAAATGTGGGGAAAGAACTGAAACCTCGACTGTAGCCTCTTTTGAGGCAGAGATACCATTTGAGTTTACGAACAAGAAATGGGAAGCAGATGTGCTCCTTCCCAGCAAGATACCATGGACATCACTAAATCTATAGAATTTGGATACTTTTTAAGCATTATGATACAATTACAATACATTTTAAGCATCTTTTTCTAAACCTACACAATAACTACAGAACAAGGTGCTGGTGCAGAGGGCAATTCTTCACGTGTGTAACCTGGTACTGTTGAAAATTACTGTCATATGACTGCCCCCAATTGATCAGGCATTTTTTACAGACACACCAATTACACCAAGTTAAAGGGGAGGATGGTTCCATGCATCAGCTGTTCCACAGTAAATGTTTGTGTATCCACTCCTTTCCCCCAGTCAGTGGAAACTAACTTGTAGCAATGTGGCCCTGTTTCCTTCAGGGATAAACTACCCAAGTTAAGCTTTAGCTTTCACTTACTATCAGATAACAGAGAACACATGACATTTACCACAGAATAGCTGATATGCACTAAATCCGATCACTTTTAACTCAGTATAATTTGTATGTCAGAGCAGGACAAATGCAAAAGCAACATCTGTATTAGTAGACATTCAGTTGTATGAAAATTGTTCATGGGTAGCCAAACTCATAAACTGGAATAAAATAGTCATGTTAAAGTCTTTGGTTCTTACCTCTAAATCATTAAAAAATAAATGTGTATCAGCGAGATTAAAAATCATTTCTTCCATTCGCAGGCCAAGGGTCACTGCCATTGGTGGGTCCTTAGAAAAAGAAAGAAAGAAAAATTAGTTTCACTCTTCATTACATTTATGTTGCAATTATTTCAAAAGTTGCTATATGCAAGACTGAAAACTTAAAATTGCAATGAGTTTCTCTTTAATTCTTTAGATGTGGAGCTATTTTATTATGAAGTTACAATTAAAATGTGGCAAATGGAAGGTAGTTCAGAAACTAATCAGAAAAATCTGAGGGCAAGGAGGCTGAAGTAGTATTTTATGAAGAAAGATGAAAAGAACCAAATATTTATACTTTGATTAAACTATGGTAGAGGAGAAACATGATTGCCATTTACAAGCTCATGGAAGGTATAATTATTAAAGAGGAAATACATTATTTAAGGTTGTACAAAGGAAGGGAATGGCATCAGGAGATGAATACAAGGAATGGTATATTTCTTATAATAAGAATATTTTGTTTTAATTTAAAGGCTACCAAAACACTTTACAAAAGTATGTAAAGAACTTTATTGCTAGAAAGGAACTGACAGTTAGTTGACTAGTCAAAGTCCACACAAAAAGTCAATGGCAGAGCCAGGAACACAAACTCTCTCTCGTTAGCCAGTACACTGCCCAAGCCATGGGGCCATTCTACATCTCAGATGATCAGAAGAAAGTTTGCAACACTTGGCTACATAACAATCTCCTCTGCTCAGTGTTGGAAGTTTCTTCACTGAAGACCTGTAAAACTGGACTGAGAAATGCCACTCACTATTGTGTTATATTATAGAGAATTATCCTACACTGTATCAGGGAAAGGCAACTTAGGAAGTCTTTTCCATTTCCAGTGTTTATGATTTGTGAGTGCATGGAAGTCAGTCTGAATCCTTGGCTATCCCACAAACAAAGTTTCACTTTAGAAAGTTTCACTTTACAAACCACTTTCCTACCCATACTTTTTGCCCATACGGATTCATTCTCCCATCCTGCCCTAACATCTGGTCTCTCTTTACTGCAGGGACTCACTCATGAAATACTAAACTCTCTTTCTGCTTCAACTTCAGGCACCCAACAAAGGCCGATCTTCATTCCTTTTCCACTCACCCAACCCTTATGTACTCACAGGATCATAGGAAAGTAGGGCTGGAAGGGATCTCATGAGGTCATCTAGTCCAGCTCCCTGCTCTAGGTAGGATCATCCCTGACAAAAACACCTCACAAGGCAGGGTAGATTTGCACCATATAGACTAACTAAATCTAATGTATACGCTTTCATAAGCAGCACCTTGCTTCATCAGATTCTGTGAAGGGATTGCAGGAAGCAGAGCTTCTAAGTAAAAAGCAGTGATTAGAATAAGACAAAGGGAGGAGAGGGGGAGTAAAAAGGAGAGAAGACAGCTCAAAGAGGTAAGGTGGGTAGGAAAAAGAAAAACAAAGCATTAAAAGCTAATCCAGGTAATGGGATAAAAATCTATAGTCTTGGTTTAGACCAGTGGGGGCCAAGCTTTTTGGCAGGTATTCCCCAAATTAATCCTGCCCCCTCCCTACATGCCACTCCAATCCCTTCCCCTTACCCAATCTGTTGCTCTGCTTTCTGCTCCCTCCCCTATCTGTCACTGTGCTACCTGTCCCTCCCCAGTCTTCTGCATGCCACACAGAGGCTGCCTGGGGCACTTGTGTCATCCATACCACAGGTTAGCCACCTCTGGGTTAGACAATATTTAACATAATCCAGCCTATGGATGATTTTTTGTTTTTAAATTTCCCATTAAAGGTGTTTTCTTAAGTGTCTGTCCAACCTGCTTTTGCAAATTTGCAGCGCTCCAATACTCGACAACCCTCATATTCTGAAGGTTCCTCCCAATTTCCAGCCTAAATTTCCTTTGCTGAAGTTTGAAGCCATTACTCCTAGTCTGTGGCATAGCTGATGGATATTATATTGCTATATAATTGTTATCTATATTGCTATGAAATTGGATTTCTTGTACTGCATTTTTGATAAAACTGTGCAGAATTCTGGCTTGCATATATATATAAAATTAAATTTAAGAGACTTCATTTCTTCTTCAGGCTAATTCAATTGCTGATTTCAGAATAATGAATTCCAGCAAGATATGTTCGCTGAAGCCACACTACTACCACAAGCAGTAGAGAGTAAGTACTAATATTTCCCAGTTGAGCTCTTCACTTCCTAGACAGCAGCAGAGAGGAAGGAGTAACAAGTAGGTTTCCTTGTGTACTGAGGTCTATTTCATTAAATGTTTTAAAAAATAGGGCAAAAACCCCTAAAAATCACCACATTGTCTTCCACATGATACCAAGGACACACACAGATTCTAAAATATAAAAATAACTTAAATGGCACAAATGAATAGAACAGAAGGTAAGACCTGAAGAAAGCAAGAAGAAAGGAATCATCTACAGTAGTTATACACTGGTTTGAACGTGGCTGCAAGAGAAATGGATATAAGACAGACTGAACTTCTACCTACAATACTCTATACAAAAAAGAAAGAAAATGGAACCTTTTCATAGACATTTTGTTGAATAAAAAAACAGCCCTTTGGCCCTTGCAAGCATGAGCTTTAGCCAGATATTACTAATGTGAAAGGAGGCAAGATCAGCTACAGCACTTCTCAGTATCAACATATAAATGACTTCAGTTACGTTAGTACTGAGGCACTAAATTGGAGCCAGACTGTCTGTCTGTGGACTTCTGTGCTAGATTGGGCCATCTACTGGAATGTCTCCTAGGAGACTAGGTAAAAATATCTCAGGAGAACCAATATTTACATGTTTTGATGAGGAACAAATTATGATGGGGCCCAAGATAAAGTCCAAAATGCTCAGTACTATCAGCGGATGCAGACTGTTTAATACTTTCAGGCAAGAAATGCTCAAAGGTCCATTCTATTTATTGCAAACTAACACAATTAACTGAGTTATTTTACAAGACAATCTCTTAAATTTTACATTTAGGAGATTTTATTCTATCTAATGGTATAATGCAATCTCTTATATATATGTGTGTGTGGGTGTGTATGTATATATGTATAAGATACTCACACAATATATAGATAGATATATAAACATATGCACACACATAGGATATATAGATATATATTGATATATATTGCAAACTAACACAATTAACTGAGCTATTTTACAAGACAATACTATTTTATATACAATCTCCCAAATTCTATATAATTTTTATAATACAATCTCATATATATAGTATTATCTCCTATATATATATATATAGTATTATTTCCTCTCTCTCTCTCTCTCTCTATCTATATATATATATATATATCTCCTATGTATAGAATTTCCTATATATATCTATATATATCAAAATATCTATATAGCTATAGATATCTATATCTATAGCTATATCTATAGCTATATCTATATATAGGAGATTGTATTATAAAATTAGATAAAATACAATCTCCTACGTATAAAATTTAGGAGACTGTCTTGTAAAATAGCTCAGTTAATTCTGTTAGTTTGCAATATATATCAATATCTATCTATATATATCTATATATCATATATACATGTGTGTGAGCATCCTATATGTATCTATCTAAGAGATTGTATTATACAATTAAATTATATAAGGGTGTGTGTGTGTGTGTGTGTGTGTGTGTGTGTGTGTGTAAATTGATACATATATCTCTCAAACTAAAGGAAACCTTTTAAAAATACTTTGCAAACAATATTGTGAATACAGACCTGGAAAGGGAAGTACTTATGAACATAGTACTAATAGTGCTATCCTTGGAAAAGTTTGTCCCCTAAGAGGAAGTGCTCGGGATAAATGTTAAATATTGTTGGCTTAATGACGCTCCTCTGAATCATGTGGGAGTCTCAGGCTTAAGCTCAACTGTCTCTTTCACTGGGACACTCATTCCTGGGAGGGTGTTGTGGAGGCTGGAGACGAGAGAGGGAGGACACATCTCTTTATAGCAATATCCTTTGGCTGATTGTGGAGCAATTTGCTCTACTCCAAAAGGAGTTCCTCTCCAGTGTTCCTTGGATGAAAGTAGAAGCATGCACACTAGGGCCTAGATAATGAATGAGAATAAACACAGCGCAATGAGAGTTCTTGGGAAATCTGATATAAGTACAGGAAAAATTTCAGTGCCGCTGAAAGAAATGCTTAAAGTGAATTGGGGCTAATGTCACCTAGGCAGCACTGGAGATGTAGATATTGTATTAAGTAGTGAACGGGTATTGCATAGACTGTAGATGCTTCCTTACCCCTTCAAGCCAACTTTACTCAACCCTGACTTAGAGGGATTATTTAGAGCAATTGCTGGAGCTGAGAAAACCGTGATGACCTTCATGGCCATTTACTGCTTTGTCTCTCTGCTGAGACTGTCAAAGGAAGATCAGCCAGGATTTATAGTCACATTGATGCTTGTGATGTGGACATTTTCCCATGAATAGGGTAAATGTCCACAGGTCCAATTTTCCCCCTAACTCAATATTATGTCCATAAAAAAGCTGCCAAGTTTCTGTCAGGTCAAATCTCACCAAATTTGAACTATCTGCCCTCAGTAAAAGGTGCCATGTCTGATAATGTATAATCTAAGCCTCTTCTACAATGAGGACTTTTTTTTTAGAAATGAGTTAATCATTGGCAAGAAGTAGAACAAAGAAGAAAGGATCATATAGAAAGGGCCTCTAAAAAGACCTTCAGAAAAATATCTTAATGGCATTTTGCATAAGCTTACACCTGACGACATTCTCATAGCATATTCTCTACCTAGAGAAAAAAAGCTGCTATGGTCTGTATACTTTCAGCAGCCCTGAAAATATACTGCCAGGTCTGGCCTACTGAGCATGGTATCATAGTGTCACCTTTTACACATATTTAAAAGGCAGTCTAAAAAGTCACAGTGAATTTTCCATAACCCACATTACAGTTAGAGAGTTCAGATTTTTCTTCCTCTCCAAATTTATTTTTGCAGTCATTCTTTTTTTTTTTTTTGCCAGTCTGAGCCTTGACTTATGGTGTATTCTGAGCATCTTTGTCTTTTGGATTGTTCTCAAAGAAATAAGTGATTTAATTGTATTGAAAATGCTAATGGTCTGAAACAAACAAAATCTGTTAAATACATCTTAATTGACCCCAAAACAGTGAAAATTCCTGGGACACAGTGAAGCAAAGAATACACATTATTAATAAGGGAACAGGAATGTACCTCATAAACTTTAACAGATGATGACAGTCTCCCAACATATGTCCTGTCACATCAACAAATCCTTATTTAAGAGTTAAGCATTGTAGAAAACTGTATGTGCCAACTGGTGCTCAGCTGCAAAAACCATCACCAGCCACACAGTCCCATAATATAACAGCTCAGATGCCAATGTTCATAATTTGCTAATGTAGTAAATAATTAAAAATAGAAACGCACTACTTCTACAGTGCTTGAAGAGTTATCAGCAAATGAAATAAGCAAAGAAAATTACTATTTCTGCTTAGAAGGAGCCCTTTTGTCTTACAAGGTGACGGACACATTTTGATCATTATTTGATATTAACTCTGGGAAATCCAATAAAATGACCCTCCCAAATTAGATTTACAAAAAACAATATTTCCTCTAAACAATTATGATTTTTTTAAATTGCTACTTTATAGCTTTATGTTGACTATGGTCAGACAGCCAAATCTCTTTCACTTCAGGAAGAATATTAAGCTACTCTTTCAACTAGTGCCATCCTATGAAGAAACAATTTGCCACATGTTTTAATGACATATTTACAATCTTGGTCACAATATTAAAAAAAATCTTCTTGCAAACTTCCCCAGCTTGTTGACATTGTGGTTATTTATTATTTGTCCCACACTAGCAGATAAAAGTCCAAAGTCAAATCAGTCATACTGAACTGGATATTGCATAAACACATATTAAAGAGAGAGTGTCGGCTTCAAAAGCTCATGGTCTTAGAGTCTAGGTCATACAGTCTGTGTTACTGAATATGCTAACTGATCTTTGACCAGCTGCTGTTCAACTTTTTTGGATCTAGACACTCCCACATAACCTCTGGTAGCTCTTCCTCAATGAATATCTCGGTCACCTTAATGAATACCATGGTCACTTCCACTCCAACTTTCTCTTCTCCCTTTAGCTACTGAAGGTGAAATTTAAAAGAAGAATATTTAGTCTGCTGGGCTCACAGTGGCTCTGCACGGCCATCCATCCTGGAAGTGATGGTGTGCTGAGTCTGCTCTGCAGCCCACACTGCACTTCCATTCAGTTGTAATGGTATCAGGGCACTAGGGTTAACGAAGATTCATTCATTTTTAAATGTTCTCTTTCCCAGAGGTCACAGAAAGGCATAAGGCAAAAAGGAGGATAAGAGATTGCAGTTCTGTGTTCATAGGTGGGTAGCTGACTGTGTGTCTGTCTGCCTAGCTGAACATTAAAAGTGTATGTATGAACTTTAAAAGATAATGGTAGTAAATTCCTGGGAAAATCCCCAGAATTTCATACCTGGAAAATGTCATTAACCCTTCCCTTCACTAAACAAATCTTCCCAGTTCCAGCTGTACTATGCTGAGCACACACTAACATTTTGAAAATCTGGAAAACTTTCAATTTTTGCCTTATATTTTCTTTTGTCTTCTCAAAGGAGGCAAACCATATTTTATTAAATGAAGCAGGATGACAAAAGACAAAGTAAAAGAATATTTTTAAGAGCTAGGGATTGGGTCACACGGAGCAGTCCAATGTAAAAGTATTTTAAAACTTTAAGACAAATATCAAAGTATGGACTAGAAGCTATTACATCTCCACTGCTGAGGGACTGTGCAAGGAAAAATGTACCAATACAATGTTTTTATATTACCTGTGGATTTCTCTGCTGGATAGAAAATGGGCCTCTGAGCAACTTTCTTCCACTAAAACACCAGGAGGCTACCTCATTACAGGGAAGAATAACTGCCTACAGCATTTTTGAGCCAATGAAAGATACCCGGATTAGGGTTTACACATATTTGTGCTGCAAAAACAACACAAGAGTGTTGAGCATATGACAGTGTCTTAATACAGGGTAAAAGTGCTCAAAGGTGTTGCCATGCATTAGCTGCTCTACTATAACTGTTCATGTGCACACTCTTATCCTGCGGTAAGGGAAAGCTAAGCCATGGAGTAAGAATGTAGAACAACTGATATGCTGTAAATCCCCACCTATTTTACCTCAAGGCAAATTGCTTGTCTGACCAAACTCTTACATTCATTGATTTAGCACTGTGAAGGTACAAAACAAATGTTAATTTGTAGTATGGACAGACATTAGCATTCCATAACTGCCAGAAAAATTCATCCCCACCTTTGCCATGAACACCATAATATACAGTCCTCATCATCCCCAGATGCACAGTTTCATACGTGTGGGGAGCCTGCTCTGATGTGCTGCTCGGGGGCAGGCGGGGGCAGGAGACTGCAGGTCATGAGGGACACCATCAGCAGTAGTGGGGATGTGGGTTGAGGAGGGAGGGACACTGGCAGGGCCAGGGGGCTGTGAGTTGGGAGTGAAGGGGCACCAGTAGGGCTGGGTGGATGGGTGGACTGTGAGTGGGGAATGAGGGGCACTAGTAGGGCCAGGGTCCTGTGGGTCAGATGTGAGGGGCACCAACAGAGCTGGTGGGGGGGAGCGTGGATTTGGAGTAAGGGGCATTGGAAGGGCCAGGCAGCTGTGGGTCAGGAGTGAGGGGCACCAGCAGGGCTGTAGGGCTGTGGCTTGGGAGTGAGGGACAAGGGCATGGGCAGGGTACTGGCGTATCAGGGCTGCTCAGCACCACAAAGCAGTGGTGGGGGCAGGGAGGACGGCAGCCACAGCTGGGCCTATGTCCTGATGAGTGAAGAGGGCAGGGGAAGCTCTGATTTTCCATGATAAAAAACCCCAAATCAAATGCCAAAATGTATAGGTATTTAGAATTAATTTTATTATAATGACTGAGGCATAGGTAGGCTTCCACACTGCTTTAAAATTGTAAATATATCAATAAAACATTGTGTTCAACTGATACCTATATAGTGGCGTTTCATTTTAAGAATGGAAAAATGTGGATTTTAGGGTTTTTAATCATAGAATTGGGGATTTACGAACAGAGAAAACTAGGATCCCTGCTCATTACACTGCTGGCTGCTCACTGCTCCTCGTCTCCGACAGTGACAGAAATGCACTGAGTGCAGTGAAGGTGCTTGGCTGGCAAGTAGTTGGAGGGTGTGGGTGGAGAGGGAGGAGGAATTTCACTCTTGTCATTAACCTAACCAGCAGTTAGCCAAGGAAACCTGTGATTCAGGAAGAAGGCTGGGGATTTAGAGAGCAGATTAAAACATAGGGACTCTAGCCTAGCCTAGCTCTGAAGGTTAACTTAACCTACCTCTTCATCCTGACATCAGTTCCTCTCCTCCACAAAGGCAACAATATCTTTCTTTTTTCCTGTCCAATTTACCCATTTTTTATTATTTCCATGCTTCCAAATTCATCAGTTATTTCCCCTTGACCACCAAATCTATTGCTCCTTTGCAGAATCCCTTTAAAAGTACACCAGAAACCTCAGCCACTCTTCTCTTACACTTGTTGCATGTACTTTGCCTACCCTAATCCTCATGCATCACCATTAAGTCAGTGCCTCATCTCCCCTTGACTCCTCCACTTGGGCAAGAGACAAGTTCTGAGCCTCAGTTCTCTAGGCTCTAATATGGGGGAAATTCTGTTCACCTCCTTCCCTCACAAGGCCAATACAGATGTTAATTATGTCTTGTAATGCAAACTAAGGATGAAAACTCCAATATGGAGGCCAAATATTGAATATCAACCATAGAATTCATGAGTTACATACCTTGCCATATTTTTGTGCATAGGATCCTGTAAGCAGCGAATGAAATACAATAATAGTTTCGTCCAAATCCCAAACAAATACACGCTGAAAAAAGAACGATGACAAAATTAGCATGTAAATTAGATCAGAGAAATCTGAAATAATTAAAAATCAAATCACTTACAACCTGTGCTTTTAATAGGCACTTAATAAATAGGTCTATTTTGAAAATCAGCATTAGTGGTATATTTATATTAACTTATAAAAACAAGGATGACATTAAAATTTTAATTACTATATACATTTTTTTTTCCTTAGGAAGGTTTCAAATATGTAAAATATAGTCCAGATGTCAGTACACTCTGGGTCAATAACCTTTCTATATTATTGCTTTAAGGTCCAAATTCTACACTCAGATACTTATCAGAAACTCTCATTGGTTTCAGGTACTTTATGTTCATTCAGCAAAGCTAATATTAACCCTTAGTACTAGTGCTATATATGCTGCAGTGGTTCATACAGAATGGAGAATTTCAATAATATTTTAGGGTCAAATATATTATTTTAACTTTTAAATTTTAAAGGAGTATTGGTAAGAAGGTGTAGGTTGTACCACTCCATCCAGTAAGAGCACAGACCATCTGTAGATGCTTCCTCAGCCTGACAAAGGGCATTTGTGCCTGAAAGCTTGCCTAGAAGAATTTTTTTCCAACTGTTTGAGTTTGTCTAATAAAAGATATCAGATTTACCCAAAGAATATTGTTTGCCTTGGTAAGAAGGTATTACCTTCATTTTCATTGTTAAGTATTAGAAAAAAAAGGGAAAAAGAAAATTTGGAATCTTCCCATTACTGTTAAAAGGAGCAATCTCTCAAGGGCTAGGGACAGACATTCAAAAAGCCTTAGCCTGAATTGATTCAATCTTTGCAGGTTAGTTTAACCTGCAAAGCTGGAACTGATCTGGAGCAGACGCAGCTGGTGAACTCAGACTGGTGGGGTGGGTGGAGCAGCACACAGGAGCGGGGGGTTGCAGCCAGTCAGGAGCGGGGTGGAGTTTGCAGCCTCCCTGCTCCTGGCCAGAGTGCCTGGCTGACTGCAACCCACACCACCCCCCCCTTTGTTAGCTGCCTGCAAACCCCACTCTGCTCCTGGCCAGCTGCAAACCCCCTCCCCCACCCCGCTTCTGTGTCTGAGTTTACCAGCCATGCCTGATTTGGAGGTGGATAGACATTCCCTTTTCATTCGAGAAATGCAGGCGCATGCCTGTAGTGGCTCAGGCTAGGGTGCTAGAGCAGCCCTCCCTTCCCTTACATAGTGCTGAGCTGGGTAGGGTGTGGCCAGGCCCAGGCAGGATGCTCTGATTAGGGAGGGGTTTTCCCCCATTGATAACAGAGCATTTATCAGTTCTGTTATTGATATTAGCAACCCATCAGAAAACAAAGCAGTTCTCATTAGTTCAAGCTCTTCTTAAACAGCTTTTTCTAAGGAAGGAACATTACTAGCTAGCTGTTGATTATCTCCAAAAAGCCCTAAGTGGACACTGGCCTATCTGCCTTACACAGACACCTCTCAGCACTAGCTAGTATACCACATACTGGCTACAGTCCATGCTGTGGGTAGGAGGGAGGGGGAATCCCTGCTTGAGCAGTCAGCCATGAGGAGGGGAGGGGCAGGGGAAGCCAGGCAGATGCTGCTGTGCCTGCAAGTCACTGCCAGAGCTCCAGTCAGGGAGCAAAGGGGAGGGGCCAGCCCAGAGAGCAAGCCAGAATGCTGGGAGACTCTGGTTTAACTTAAACCAAGAAGGGGTCTGGGACAGACATTGCATAAACTGGTTTGACCCAAATCAGTTAAGTCTGATACTACATTCAACCAGGTTTATCTCAAACTGGTTTCACCCATATTCAAATTGGTTTATGTATACTGAATGTCTGTTCTGTTACAGGTTTAAACCAGTTTCTGATCACTTAAACTGGTTTATGTGTAATGTCTGTCCCTAGCCACAAAACTATATATATATATATATATATATATATATATGAAAAAAAGAAGCCTTTCCTCAGTCTCATCTCTCCAGGAGAGATGACACATACAGCTAACTGACAGAAGAGTTTGCCCTTGGTGATATGTAGAGATATTCACTGAATGTGCAGAGGAGATGGATCAGTGCTATGATGTACCAGTATCACAATGGCAGGAAGAGGTACAGCACATGTGAGGAGCATTCCTCTGCTGCCAGGGCTGACATGTCCCCTACATGCATGGAGCAAGCCTTGTTTCTCTCCTTTCATACAAGGCTAGAGTACTTCTAACAAGACTATACTCACTCCATTGCTAGGAGGTCACTTGTGTTCTCATACATTAGGCAGATATCTTTCCACATTAAAGGCCTAATCTTACAAATACTTGTGCACCTAACTATACAGATGCATATAATCTTGCTAAAATCAATGACAGTGCTCATACAATCAAAGATGAGATGGTGCTTATGTGTTTGGTAAATCAGGGCTACATATAGTCTTGTATCATAACTGCATATTCTCTTTTTTGTAAAGGGAATAATGCGGTTAAAAAGAATGTAATTATATGGGGCCAAACACTTGAACAATAAAGGCTTTCTTCAAGAAAAGAAATTCCAACTATAAATTAAAGTTAAAAAAAAAAAGCCAATCTTTGTGGTTCTCTTCTGAATTCAGCTGAAAGGGGCATATTTTTAGAACTAAAGAAGCAAGGATACATCATCTTACATTGCCTGCTTTCAACATAGGCAGGTACAAAGGATTAATGCATACAGTTAAAAGAGCTGCTAGAAATTGGTTTTATTCAATTAATGGGAAATAGAGTCCATGACAGTTTTTGAAAGCCTTAAATAGCTTCCGCATCTGTAATTTGCAGAAATTACTTTACATCATAAGAAACCTTCATATTACCATTCATCAGTTACCAGAGGGCTTTACCTCCAAGTCACTGTCTGGAGGGGGTGATGGATTATTCTTCCGCCCTCTACCCCGGGACTTTGACCCAGAACTCCTACACGTTCTCTCATCAAGATCTTTGATGGGTGTTGAGGGGCTCTGTACTGTGTCAAACTCCCCTGTTAATACAATTGTTAACAGAAAAATCAGTTTAATTTTTAAATAAGGCAAAAGCTTTTAAAAAATCTTTCAACATTTGCTAATTTAAGCAGAAGGTACATGCAAATCTTGTGTATACACATAATGCAGAAGAGTAGTCTCCAGTTTCAATCTTACACAGCTAGAAATTTCAGAAACTACCACCACATTTTGATTTGACCAAAGACATTTTTTATTTCTCTTGATAGAAGGGAAAAGTAGGTTTAAATGCACTTCTACACACGTATATTATGCAGATATGTACACACACAATACCGAGACACCATAAAATGGGATTTCTAATATGTTATACTACTGGACACATCATACTTTAAGGTAATGTGAGAATATTTCATTTTCTATGTTGGGAGTCGGTTAGATAGATGTTGAACCCCATGCTATTATACAGGATCAATTTCAGTAGCTCTACTCATCAGCAGGAGATTTGTCAGCTTTCCCCAAGCAGAGGAGGACATCCCTTAAATACTTATTTGAGAATGAGAGCCCAGATACCAGATCAGCTTTCTAACTTACTCTGGTTTACCGAGGGAATCCTATCTTGGGCAAGAGGTGAAGGTATAGTAAGAACTATCATCAGAGTAATGCGGTGTGGGAAGAACAGAAACTACCTAGGGAGGACTATTTGAAACTTGCTCTTAAAGGCTATGTCTGTCATATCTCCCAGTGACCAGAAATCCTCTTTCCTTCCCAGAACAGTACCTTAGTACACTTCCAAAAATTTCTGGGATTGAGTAATTTAGCCAGGTTCCTAAACATTAAATGAGAAATATCTTCCCTTTTGGCTGTCTAAACAATGATTTCATGTCCATGTTTTAGAGCGATCATGGATACAGCTTCACTAGACATCTACTAATGTGTCTGGCTAATTAATCTAGAGTGTCTTTCCATAGCATTTAATTTGTGGGGCTTTCTTTTAAACTGCACTAGGAATGATTGCTTATGAGATGCTGGAACTCATGCATAAGTAATACGTAGGTATAAGCATGTTCCTAATTGCATATGTAGGTAGTGAAATCTGTGGTCAGATTCTTTTGGTAAGGCACAAGTTTCTGAGTTGGAATCATACTGGTGATTATTTCACTATTATTAATGAGTGCCCAGAAGTACCAGTCAGGCACAAAAAAAAAGAAACAAAAAAGGAAAAAAAAAGACAAAGGCACCATTCTCATTCAAATATCTGGGTTTTCTTTTTTGACCTTCCTGAAAAGTTTGGGGGTAACACAAAGCATTTTCACTTCAGACTGACTGAAAATCAAAGACAGCTGGCTTTGCAAAGCCTGGGTCAAGGGCATGTCAGTTTGGGTGGCATCAGTTTATTATTATAGCACTTGGGAGACATTTTTATGGTCCAAATGAATGGTTTTTATGCACAAGAACAAATCACAAAGCTGCCCAAAAAGTTTCTGATCAAGCCAAATAGTTCAGTATTAGAGAACTTGCAAATTCGACTGACATCATTTCTTTTTCCCGTTTTTTAAGAATATTTTATTAGGGTCACAAGTGAAAAATATAAGTCACTGTGAATACAATAACTTTGAATAAATTGTGTGCCAAAAGAAAGAATAGGCCACATGGGTCAAACTAAGAACATTTTAAAGTTTATATACAAAAAGAACAGTATATATGATCCAAACTATAGAAATCCAAGGTATATTAAGTTTAATCTATAGAACAACATACAGAGGTCATACGTGCTACCTGACCTCTGACCCTATTGCTGTCCACATGCCAGCCAAAATATGAAGGAAATAATAGGGCATGTGTAAACCTGTGTTCTGGGGCACCAAATTGCAGTCCTTTGCCCTGTATGTCTAAAAACTCTCTGGCTGATGACATAGTACTGCAGAGAGCCCTAATTTACAAATTAAAATATTAGCACAGTCCAGTTCAACTCATTCTCTACACACAATCAAGGAAGAAAAAACTAATTTACTAAACTCTGTATGAATGTCTAAAATATTAGCAAAATTCATTTTATTTGAATAACCTCCTTTCCCCTGCATATACTATCAATATTGGTATTTTAGTAGCTGAGGTGGCTGCAGTACATACTTCTATGTACCTGTTTTATGTCTCCCATTACCACAATACCTAAATACTTAATAATTTTATAGTATTCTTCCTTACAGCTCTGCTATGAAGTAGGTCAGTAATAATACACCCATGTTATACATGGGGTACTGAGAACCAGAGAGATTAAGGCCTACATCCAATTTTAATTTCACAAGTGCCCAAATGGCACCCTCTTTGAGACCCTGAATTTCTTTTAAGGCAAAAGGAGGGCATTATCATCTCCTTTCCCTATAACTAAGTCATGGTTAAGATGAAGACATGCTAAAAACTGACCCACTGACACTTCTTCAGACTTGAGAAGAGTAGCATTAGGAATGAGTTTAGGTACTTTAGGATTTGGGCCTGAGCAACCATACCTGAAGTCAAATTCAGAGAATCTGTGACACAGCAAAGAACAGAGCCTAAATATCCTAAAATCCCAGCCCTTCATATTAACCACTGGACCCAACCACCTAAGTAACTGTGTTGAACTATGTATATACAAATGATTCAATGATATCAGACCTCTTCCCCATGGATTTTTAACAATACTGGACTCACTAGAAGTGAGTTGTGATAGCAGCTCTGGCCTTAAAAAAAAATCTATAGTCAAGACATGAAAATATATGACAATTAAGGCCCAGATCTAGAATGGTAAAGTAGGGTCCAGATCCTGTTCTGTCTATTATCCTGTTGCTTTGAGTCATCTTCTTGGGGTAAAGCACCTAACTTTTAAGTGTTGTAAGAACAAAGCGAAGGTGATTAAGAGATTTAGGGATTTTGCCCTCAAATTCAAAACTGAAAGATAATGAGCTGAGCTACTCTGCCAAACAAGGCAAAATACAAAGTAATGACAATTTCAGTACTTATAAGAGAGTACTGAACCAAAAATATTAGAAACAAAGAAAGGAAATATTAGAAAACAAAGGAGAAAAATAGGTACTGAAGGAGGTGGATGATGCTTAGTACCTAAGGAGACTCATCTCCCCAAAACTAGAATAAACCATTTCCCCTCCATGACTAGTTGTATAGTAAATTATTTGAGAGGAAGCCCCTGAACAGTGACAGCAGTAAAACAGAAGCAAGAAATATGCATCCTTCTGGTTCAGGGGTGCTTTCAGGTATCTCAAAATCCAACAGCCTTTAGTGGGGCGGGCTGTTTGTTTTTTTTAAAAATGATGTTCCTATTAAGCTATTGCTAGCCCTGAATCTCAGTTCCTTTGGAAAGCAGGGATCATGAGGAAAATGAGCGTAACTACCTTTTAAGCTTGTCAGATAAAACATCTTTGTCTCATTCACAAGTTTCACAGCCCATCCACTGAAGAACATAGGTATGTAAATTTAACCAAAAAATGTTTATCAGAAGCTCAATCTGAAGAATGCATATAATTTATATATTCTGTGCCATTCAGTGATAGACCATTTAGAAGGGGGAAGCTGGTGGTAGTAAAGGCACACGAAACGTATTTTAGGTGTTTTAGCTGTGAATGTTCGTACTTAAACTCTTTTTGTAATGTTACCTTTATTTTAGAATTTTCCTTCTCTCAGTTTTCATGGACTAGTTCACAAGGTCATTGTTATCATTATCTCTTATGACAGACAACAAGATTTGTGCTGAAAAACGCACAGATATAGCTCTTGCAGGGAATGGTTTATAATCTAATGCTCTAATTTGGGGACCCTTTCCTATCCAGAAAAAGCATACAGGAAGTACTTAGCTTTAGGCATGTGTTTAAGTGCTCCTAAAGTCAATGGGATGCAAATGTGCTACATTTGCTAAATTGGGCTGGATGTATATTAACATTTAGAACCATTTCTTGACTCGAGGCCAGTAACAGAGACAAAGATAAAGTGCATTTCGATACCCACAAAAAGTTAACTTTGTATTATTCGTATACCCCCGGTAAAAATAAACTTACACCCTTGTACTCTTTTGCTTGTCCTTAAATAAATGTATTCAACTTAACTCTCTGGATCTGTCAGTAATACTAGATTTTTGACTAAATAATAAATACCATTATTAGTGAATTTACAAATATTTAATAAAAATTACATTTTAATGGTCACTAAGTAAATAATTTAGTTAATTATTCCTCTTAGTGAACCGTGTACCAAAGCCAGTTAAGCTAAGTAAACTGCAACAGCACATTTTGATGGAAAAAATACTGTTGTGTCATGTAAGAGAATAAAAAGAACTATAAATCTTCCTTCAAGATATGAAACTACTTAAAATTCTATATAGGATAATGCCACATTTCAGCTCTGAAGCTTTTGACACTTGTTTCCAATTATTCCTTCTATACTGAAGGTTTAAATAACCTTCAATATAGAGGGAATAATTAGAAACCTCCTTCTATATTCAAGGCATAAGTTTGCAAAATGTACATATCTATTTATCAATCTGTAATAATTTACTGCAGTGGTGATCTGACTCACACAGCCAGTTTTGTACAAAGCATAACTATATCAATATATGCCTTTGGCCATGTAAGGTGGAAAGAACATTACACCAAAATCTAGCCTTTTTGCTTTAATACTACCCTGGCAAAATATTAGCCAAATTGTTACAAGTGTTTTGTAAATTTTGGTTCTTACCTGAAAAATCAATATAAATCAAACACAAATATTGAAATATAATGGCTATAACTTTAGAAAGCTCTAAAAGATAAGTTATTTTCAACCTCTTTCTTTAAAGTATAATTTGGTAATTCATGTCTTTGTATTTAGCTTCTTGTTTTATTATACATGTATATATTTCCCCTATCTATGAGCTTGTTGTAAGTGAAAAATAATACTATTTCTATGGAATGGAAACCAATTAATTTTAATAGAAAGTAAATGGTTTATTTGGCAATTACTTTAACTACTCAAACAATTTAATACAGAAATACAGACTTCTGTAGGCCTT